CAGTCAGAAAGGACCAAAGTCCTTCAGTCTGTCCTCAAAGAACAGGTTCTCCAGCCTGTTGATCATGTCCTCTCCTTTGGACCCTCTCCAGTCTGTCTGTGTCTTCCTTAAACTGTGAGGACTAGAACAGGACACAGTGCTCCAGGTGCAGCCTGATAAACACCGAATAAAATGGGATGATCATATCTCTGTTGCTTCTTGTAATGCCCCTGCAGATCAAATCAGTATCTGATTTGCATTTGCTGCTGCCATGAGGCACTGCTCCTGTTCAGCTGCTTGTTCACCAGGAGCCCAGGTCCTTTTCAGCAGGGCTGCTCCCCAGTTGTACAAACCTATCCTGTAATGGGCTCTTTGGTTATTCTGACCCATGTGCAAGACTGTTAAACTTCATATTTAATAAACTTCATAGTTAATAAATTACACTGCCTTCTCTGCAAATGGTCGAATAGGAGCAGGTCTGAAGCAGGCATTTCTAATTTTAAAGAGAATGGTTAATGACAATGCCCAGTCACATTATTCTAATCTGCAAGATGAAGGATACAGAGCTATCTTCTCTTAGGCTCTGTTGATGCATGAGAGGTGACCACGTTTGAAAGCACACCTTGAATTTTTCCCCTTTAATTTATTAACATTTATTCATTGCTGGATTTATGAAGCAGTGTTGATAACTATGTTTCTATTCTTATCAGTCATACAGTTAGTCCTACCATTCTGTCAACAGAACAATATAAGGGTTTTTAATTCATGGTTGGGATAGAAACTATAAAATATTGACTGCTTCAGAAAGAATTGTTTTGTAAATTATTAAACTTGCAACTTGACCCCTAAAAAGTTCTGCTGATGTGAAATATTTTATGTGACCATACTTCCAGTTCTGATAATGTAACCAATGCTTATATCCAGTGTTCAGGAAATCTGGCAGTGAAATTGTCAAGGGTAATGTTATGTTCCATAGGGTTTACTGCTCCTTCAGATTGTATCTTCTGCAAGTAGTTACCATGCTCGGATCAATTCTGGCATTTTGATACACAGTAGAAGCATTTATTCAGCTTGAGAGTTTTAAGTTGCAATTCCTTAAAGACTTATGAGGTTTGTAACATGTTATGGGGACACAGAACTGCAATATATCTGAATATAAAACAAGTGCTTTATAAATTGTTTTATCACACTTCAAAGTGACATGCTAACAGGATTGCCAAATTCAACTGCAAAACTTGCCAATTTGGATCATGTGAAGGCAGGTGTGAGATTACAGCTGTAATAAAACTGAAATTGAATACTGGTAGCTGAATTTGTAGTAGGCAATTGATGTGATTTATATAACATGAGCCACATGAGGAAGGATATGTAGGTCAGCATCAGCTGGAAAGGGTGGTTAGACAAGGTGTGGCAGGTCGCTGGGAACTGCTGAGTTAATACTTGTTCAGTCTGGCAAATTGCTGGTGCAGCATAACTGCATTCTATCAAACTTATCTGGGGGAGACACCATCTACAACAAGGAAAAACTAGTCAGTTATATCCAGTGCCACTTGTGCCATAAAAATCTTCACTAAAATTAGCATAAGAGCGTAGACCATACGGAGTTTCCCAGGGCAGGAATTCGTACATTAATTGTGAGCACATTTTCAGTTTGCAAAATACTTAAGGTATATAAATACACAAATCAGTATTAATCTCCTTTTAGAGTAATAGAACAATATATTACAAAATGCAAATGGCAAATGATCCTGTTCAGGGAAATAGAGGAAGCACAATCAAATATAGCCTGCAGAGTTATTTCTAATCCAAGCAGTCTGTTATATCACAGATTTGCACAAGAGAAGCAAAAAAAAAAAAAAAGCAAAACAAAGCACATTCCCCTTAAATAAAAAAGAAAAAGCACAAACTAACTGGTAATCACCACTTTAAAACAAGGAATTAAGATTAAACATACAGAAATTGTTATTTGTCTGAGAATTTCCATCCACCATTCCCAGGCAAGGGTCCAAGATTTTGTCAAAGTTGTGAATGTTTGGAGACTGCAGCCAGTCCTGATCAGTACAAACATGCAAGGGCTTATAAGCCACAATTTCTGAAGACTTCATCTTTGCAAAATGTACTTGAATCTCTTAAGTCTACAAACACTCCACTGACATGGAGCAGTGGAAAATGCTTTTGCTTTATCTATAATCTGACCTGAACAAGAAAGAGGAGGAGGAAAAGAATTTTAAAGCATATTTACATTATTAGTTCTTGCTAACAAAATTCAGGGAGTATATGACAGGGAAGGAGAAGAAAACTAGAAATGTTGTTTTAAAAAAGGTTGATTATAGTTTAGCAAAGTTTTTGTGATGAATGGAGGTGGTTAATGTAGATGATTTAGGAGAATACATTGTTAGGAAAGGAAAGGAAAGCAATGAGGTAGTATAGGAGGTGTGAGCATTTCTGATAAATGTGAGGTTCATATGTCATCAGTCAGGACCCTCCAGAATGAATGAATGAAGATTCCAGTGAATTAAAAAGAAGAAATTTAATGGAAATACAAGTATAAGAAATAAGTACAGCAGGAATCTGAATGAGTTTGTAACAGCCAAGGTGGGAAGTTGATTTTGTAGCTAGAAAGCAAGACTGCAAATAAATAAGCAAGAATAAATAAAATAAATAATGCTACAGAAATTACTGCAATACTGATTCAATATGCTTTAATTTTTTATAATCCTCAGCATAACATAATATCTTAAAAATCTAGAGCCATGGCTATTACTAAGCACAGTGCTTTAATTATTAGCATTATTACAGTTGATAGTTTGGTCATTATGAAAAACACAGAGCCAGATAGAAGAGTAAAAAAATAAAATTGAAGTTAACAGAAAAGTGAATTTTATAAAAATTCTTCACTTCAGCAGCACTGCAGGACATCATCATTATCATTACAGGAAACATAAACCACCACCAGGGCTGGAACTGGGATAGGAGGTCTACCCAGTGCTTTCTGATGAGGAAACCCCTTTGGGTTTATTGAGGAAGGGGGTTACAGATGTTACGGATGTTTTTTTGTTTGTTTGTTTGTTTTTTTAACCAAGCACATGGCAGTGCTTCTGATGACATAGTTTTTCAGCTTTCCTTGTCTTTGTGACAGCTAATAAAAACTCAGAGCACTGCTGTTACTAAAAGAATTCATATTGTATCTTATTATGATGCCCCCACAGTCAGATGTTACCTGTTGAATAGTTTCAGTTTACTGTGACAGCAAAGTAGAGAGTAAGGCAACCATTATTTTGCCGCTATCATTTATATTTGACAGCAGCTGGCTCACCAGTCCCTGTATGTGTTGTTTATGGCTTAAATGTATGATTCTGAGAATGGAAAGGAAGTAATTTACTGTGTTGAAGGGTGTAGTAAACATGGGAAACAATCCTTACAATATTCTGATGGTCATCTCTTTTGATGTTTATACAGTGTTTTATATCATGGTGCTTTTGGACATGCTGGGGACATGTATGTAGGTAGTACTGTTGAACAGTAACTGATAATAAGGAAATGAGCCTTCCTGAAGATGTATAGCTGTGAGCTTTTAAAAAAGTCTTGAGACTGCTAAAAGAAATCTCATGGCACTATAGTTAATGTATTATGAACTCTTGCAAAAAGAAACAGATTAAGATGGAGTGATGGGTCAGGGTTGAGGAATGACTAAATTTCACATTAAAAGACATGATTCAAAACTGAATAGAAATTAGAGTGAGGACAAACTCAATATGATGTTTATTCTAAGCATATGGAAACCTCTTTTTGATGCTGTCTTCAAAATGCTGCAGCAGCTAAATGTATTATACCCCTGGGAATCATAAATCTTAGGGCCTGATTCTTCTCACTACATATTAAGAATGGTGAAAAGTATACTTAAAGTAGGTATAAATTGCATTTAAATCTTCTTTATGCCTCAGCAGTGCTAGAGTCTCAATATAAATGAGAATCAGGTCCCTGGTATTTATTTAACCCTTAGGCTTTGTATATAATTTTTTTTCACCTTTAAGAGATTTGCAAAGGGATTTTTAATCGGGATTTGTAATCAGTATTTGGTGCACAGTAAGCTAAATGTTTTCATTGCCTTACAAGTAACTTTAATCACAGAGGCAGATCATTCTTTTTATTTCTCAAGAGGGAATGGTAGAATTTTCTGCCTTTGTAGAAACTGAGCTAAATGTTTCTGACACCCATAGTACAGTGTCAATTGGAAATTCACATTTCATGTAATAACAGACAATTTTAATTTCATGAGCTAAAGGATTGGTTTCCACTTGCAGATTGTACCAAAGAAAGCAATATTGTCAGAAGAACTGGCACAGTGCTTCCAGAGATAAATCTATTGAATTAAATAAGAGGCTTTCATTACCTTTTACATTGCATTTCCATATAACATAAGCATTAATTAAACTCTTCATTGCTTTCTCCGATTCAGCAGAGTATTTGCTCTGTCTGACAAGAAATGCTGCCTAAGAAAACATGGCATCCAAACACAGTCATCAAAATACACTTACTCAAGCAGAAGGGAAAGAAGGGTAGAAGAGGGAATGCTCAGATACATTTGGGCAAGTGGGACCTATCTTTTTCAGCTTTTGACATCAATACAGCTTTGGTGACTTGTAACACCATCTCACTAGGTATTTGTTCAGGCATTTCAAATACAAACATAAAAATTGTCTTTAAATTTTTAGGTATATGTCTGTTTATGAGGAAGGCTTCTTCAGTGTGAAGAATCGCTTTTAGCATGAGACAGTTGTACCTTCTAAAGTATCAAAATGAGTCTCCAAAGTATGTCTTCCCTCCTGTGTATGGAATGCCCAACTATAGCAAAGTGGTAGATAGAGACTCAAAGTGTTTTCCCAATCAAGTGGTCAAGCCTTAAAGAGCTGTTCAGGTACCCCACCTCCCTTAACTCAAGAGACTTCATGTACGTTTGGTACCAACACACTTCTATCTGTATTCAGATATTTTAAACTTTCTTTTTCTTGTCATTCCAGGGGAACATTTGAGAATCTGCCCTCAGGAATATACATGTTGCACCTCAGAAATGGAAGACAAGTTAAGCCAACAGAGCAAACTGGAGTTTGAAAACTTAGTGGATGAGACAAGTCACTTTGTACGCACCACTTTTGTATCCCGGCACAAGAAGTTTGACGGTAGGCTGGTGGATGTCATTTACTTATTTTCAAGGTTATGGGACTTAAAAGTCAGTAACCATAATAAATTCCAATGTTCTTTGCTTTACGATTAGATATCACATTTGCAGTTGTCAGTTTGGCTAAGATAAGAGTTAACTTACAGCTGGTCTGCTTATCAGCCTTGTGAGTATTGCCTTTAATTACAATGACATCAAGAATCAGTCTGTTAAGAGCTTGCAGGCTTAGCTAATGTTGAAAAAAAGAGATTAGATATGCATAGAGGGGTTTATAATTTTTGTCTCCTAGTTTCAAACGCAAAATTTAGGTTTGCAATTATGTTCACTGTTGCAAGATGAACTATGACCTCCCATGATTTTTGTAATTGCAAAGCAGGTTTTTTTTTGTAGCCTTGAGGCAGTAGTTTTTTCCTGCATGATTTTCTTGTGGTGTACAGAGTCTCTTAGAGGGCTTCTGGCTTCCATACACTAAGGCCTCAGTTGCATTTGAGAGAGATTGTCATGCAAACTACTTAAGTAGGATGGAACACATCTTTTATACCTAGAAAGAATTGACAAGGACAGTTTGAGGTTTGTATTCGTTTCTAATCAGTACTCTAATCTCTTCTGATCCTCATCCTTTTTAGATCTTTGTAACATCAAGGATTCAGTGTCTCAATTTACTAAATGGTTGTCTTTAATAATGAACAGTAAGCAGATTTTATGGTTGTGCTTGTATTTACAAGTCACACTATATTGAGCTTTTCTCATAAACTGCATATTAGCAAAGAGTAAAAGAGCTTCAGAATATTCTGTCATGGTTTTATCTAAATATGAAATCTGTGTTTGCATAGAAAGTGCTCCCTGAGCATTTCTGCATATGCGTAAGCTCAAAAGGGTCTGACACTAAGAGGTGTAAATCAACATTGCAAAGAGCTTTGCATGAAGGTAGAAAGTCTGGAAACAGGTATGGTAAAGATGGCTAACCCCAGGTAACAGGGCATATGCACACATACAGGGGAATGGAGGAAAAGTTATCCCTGAAGTTGGACGATTACTTCAAAACTCTGAGGTTGCCTTCAGAAAAAAGTGAAGATGTCTTTAAGTCCTTAGGGTAATTCTGTATCATTCTCTCTATCTGATTAAAGACTTTTTTTTGCTAATATTGTCTCAAGATGACACAGAAGGGAAGATGAATTATAAAAGGAGAGAATGGAAAATGAGCATGAGCTGGGTAAAAGTTCCCAGCAGCAGATCAGATGCTAATATAATATAGAAAGTGTCCTAAGTGTCCTTAGGCCTTGGGAGGACTATGGTGTGGATGACTGCTGTTCTCTGCATTGTGATGGCTTCCCTTTTGGATGTGAAATTGGAACTTTTTATGTAGTGGATTTTCAAAATTTTACTTGCCTTTGAAGGGCCTAAAAAAAGAACCCAAAGGTTGTGTGCAATATTACAAGATGGGTATGCACACAGAGCAGACATTTCAAAACATCTATAGCACATAGAGGTCTTTCCTCTTTTTGGAGAAGGAAATCAAGAACAGCAGTGTAGTTTACTGCAAACACTGGGGTCATTGACCACAGAGCTCAGATGGCACCTCACTAAATCTTTGGAAACTTGAGGCCTTTTTATATTGAAATGAACTTAAGCACATTATGGCTTTCTGAGTAACCTGAAATTCTCTATCTTAATGAGAAGGTACATAGCTGAAAGTTACTGACCTGTTGTAAGTACTGTGTTCGGGGATTGTTAGGGATCTGCTCCGCAGGAAGTTGGATTAAAAGGAGTAGTGATTTGTCCTAGTTTATCATTGATGTTTTAAAGGTAATTTGCAATTTGAAGCCTTATCAAAGGGCGTTTGAACTTTGTGTATACTGTCACTATTTTGTTGCTATTCTAAAACTATTCAGTTGTTCACTTATATGGAAAAACTGCTTAGTTTTTCTAGAAGGCAAGTACATTAATGGAAGAATATATTTTCCTAACAGGTGGACTTTCACTAAAAAAAAAATCTAGATATTTAGTAGTTTAAAATAGGGTGACAATTTCTGGTATAAAGCAAATACTGGATTGTTAGATAATGTCAGTGTTTCAGCTCTTCAAGAATTATCTCTTTTTTGTTTTAATTGGTACTTTAACCGCACAAGGGAGTTCTGATAGATGATTCTGCCATTTGATGCTACTATACCACAAATAAGAAAACAAATACAGCCAATTGTGATGATTTTGTGAAAGATTTTTTGTGTACAGGACCTGTGTTTATCAAGAACAGTATTATCTAAGCATTAACTCCTGTGAGGAATTAATTTAAATGAGTGGTGCTGCCAATCTTTTTGTTCATGCAGACATTTGTATCATTTTTTCTTCTGCTGTACCAAACATGTCTTAGGCTGATGCTTTATAGGACTTTCCGGGGGTATGTAAACTCTTTGTTTAATTATGATCTGACCTTTATATGTCTCGCCTTTTTTATTTGCTTTCTGCCGCAAAACCATTCACTTAAGCATCGATGGAATAATTTTATGATTTTCATTTTGAGAAGTAATTTGATTCATGATCTAATCTACAAGGAAACTCAATCTTCCGTAACTTAAACATTGTCTCTTTAGCCTCTCTGTGTAAGGTACACATTCTTACATAGAATCACAGAATCAGAGCATGGATGAGATGTGAGATGGAGATGGCCTAGTCACTAGGCCAGTGTGACTAGGCCAATGGAGATGGCCTAGTCACCCCACCTTAGAGGAGGGTCAGCTACTGCATGTCTTCCAGGACCATGTGCAGCCTCAAGCCTTACTTTGCGTATCTCCATGGATGGAGACTCCACAGCCTCTTTGGGCAACTTGTGCCAGTTCTCACAGACCATTCTCACAGTAGAAAAGTGATTTCTTGTGTACTTTTTGGGTTTTGGTTGGTTGTTTTTTTTTTTTTTTTTTGGGGGGGGGGGGGGGGGGGTTTTTTTTTTGTTTTTTTGTTTTTTTTTTTTTTTGTTGTTGTTGTTTTGTTGGTTTTAATTTTAATTTGTGCTCATTGCTTCTTCTCCTGTCACTGGCCTCTATGATGAACATCCTGGCTCCATCTTCTTTAGTCTCCCTCCACCTGACATATATACACGTTGATGACTTCCCCTCCTTGAGCATTCTTTTCTCCAGTCTGAATGGTAGCAGCCCTCTCAGCCTCTGCTGGTATGAGAGATGGTTCAGGCCTTCCATCATCTTTCTGCCCTTTACTGGACTTGCACTGGTATGTGCACATCTCTCTTGTACTTGGAAGTGCAGACCTGGACCCACCACTCCAAATGTGGCCTTAACAGTGCTGAGCTGAGAAGAAGGTTCACCTCCCTCAGCTTGCTGGCAATGTTCCTACATAATTTCTGTGTAAGTTTTATATTTAATTTTATGTGAAGTGCAATACTTTCCAAATCTCTACAAGAACTAATTTCTGTAATAAGTAGGAGAAGCTAAATATTAAATTCATAACAGAGATTTGGAAATTATTAGGCATTTTGGAACCAACTATGATCAGAAGAAATGCATCCTAAACCTTATCCAATCTTACTCATTTCTTACATATTTGTCCTCCATATTTCTAAGAGGCTGTAATTGTCTTGAAACTTTTAACTGCTCCATTCTTCTAGATTCATTTTTTCTGAAGTGTTTTATTCTTCAGAGTATGTTACTTTCAAAGGTTCCTCAGAGCGAAAGGTCTGACAACAGTATTTTTTGTTCCATCTCCATATTCTAGGTAATCAGTGTGAATTAGCATGAGTCACTGCACAATACCAGCTGCCAGTTGTTTTTTGGCTGAGCCTTTTGTGATATTTATAGCTGTATTGCCTACACCTGTGTATTTGCCATTGCATTGCCATACTGGATGGTCGTTTCAAAACTATCAGTATCTGGAATTTCACTAATGGGTGAATGAGGATCCAGAAAATCTCCTGGGAATCTTGCCTAAGAAATCAAGCCTTGAAATGAGGAAAATCTCCTTGAAACAGTAGGTACTCAATGTTCCTAGCAATGAAATACCTGATTCAGCGATAGGACTCACAAACCCTTCCAAAAAATAGGAAAAGGAACAAAAACCTAGCAGATAGGAAACACGCAGGTGAAGAGTTCCATCAGATACAGTTCCTAGCAATAGGCAAGCAATCATGCTCCAATTCTTGGACCTCCAGTTCTTGGACCACCGCTGTATACCTCAGAGCAGCTTAAAATATATTATACTCTCAGTGCAGCTATAATAGCATCATCTTCTTATCACCAGTTCATGCAGAGTGACATTGCTGAGCAGCTGTTTCACAGACTAGCCAATTTCTTTTAAGTATTGCTCCATCAGCATCTGAAACCAGTCCTACCAGGAGGTTTTGTCAGGAATGTTAATGAAGAGACAAGTGGCAGTTCAATGACATTTTTTCACTAATCCTTTGAATAACTATAGGACAACTATAGCAAATAATTTTAATTTAAGCTAAATAGATCTGAACCTGATAATAGAGACACTGTCTCCTCATTAAAAGAAGGTATGGTAGTAGGCTTGGTAATGGTATTAGAAATGAAAGACTCTCTAAGAATAGCTGTCATGAACTTAAGTGGATATGGATAGCCTTCAGCAGAATGTGTGAGGCATGATGCCATTTAACGAAAATAACCTGAATAGTGTAAGAACCAATCTGCAGCTGCATTGATCTCTCTTACAGGCTCATCATTCCCTATGCTCCTCTTTTTTACAGTCTAGGAGAACAGTGATCCATACCCATTAGTGCTGGTTATATTTCTTACAGTCATTACTAGCAGGAGCAGGGTAAATTACAGGACAGGAAAGAAAGTTTCAATGATAATTTCCCAAAACAATACCTACAAGAATAGATACTATCCCAGACACCCTATATTCCCTTTTCTTTTCTAGCACAATTTATGAAAGAACTTGGGGAAAAATGGTGGGTTTGAAACTTTCCTTGATACTAGAACTGACAAATATGTGCTTTGTGAAGTTGCTTTCCAACAAAGAGCAAAGTAA